TTTTTTTATTGAAGCGTTTATATTTAACTTAGGCATTGGCCGTTCTCTTTTAATAATGTTTTCTTTTTCATTATATGATCTCGAGCCAAAACTTTTTTAAAATAAATTTTCAATATCGCAATTACATTCTGAATCGCTAGCCACGATATAAGGGCTAAAATTAAAAATAAAATTATAAAAACTTACTCGGTAAAATACAATGTGTGGTGGATGTACTGGTACATACCTGATACAAAACATTCTTCAATTGTATGAATATACTTTTAAAGAAAATTATAATTAAATATAGCTTTGTAATGAAACATACATGAAAATAACAAAATATTCTTTACTCTTTAAATCTTAACCACTTAGTCAAATAGCTCCCTACGAGTGGAATCAGAGACGGTCCTGCTAGGTGTGCGGTGTGTACATACATGCACGCAAGCTGCCAAATCCTGAGGGTGCCCATACCGGTCAATGTCAAATGCCTGTTTATCCGCATCACTAGTATATCTCAAAGGATGTAACAGGGTTCTTGTAAATTTTAAACGTTTCTCACATAGCTGTAAAAGTCTAAATACGTTAAACTTAATAGATTGTCCGTCATTTATTTTCTAACTAATTCGTTTTAGGACCAGGTGTCCACGAAAATTTCCAAAATTTACAACTTTTCGGTCACTCTCGTTGAACTGGAAAAATGTCTGTCTTTTTTACATCTAATATTTCGAAATCAGTCCCACTGTACTCGGCTAGAGATTGGTTCGGTTAGGCTTTTGTTTAAGTAAAATTTCGGCTCTTTTGTCAGGGTTTTGTTTACGTCCCCAATTCCCTAATCGCTTAATTATTTAACTACTTCTCAAGTAGAAATAAGTTGAAACCGGTTACTTTGTACTCGAATATTTGTAGTCTCGGGGAAAAGTGGAAAGGCAAAATTTTATGACAAACAAACACGTACATCATAAATTTAAGGAAAATAAATTCTAGAGCTTTTTCTGTACCCGGTGCATCTCTCTCATTCATTAAATTTAGTTGTAAATTATACTGTCAAAGTAACAGTTAATTTTTTAACATTATACAAGAATTGTACACGTTTTTTTCTACATCCCCTTAGAGATGGGATATACGAAATCGTAATATCACTGGTTTAACATTGAAATCCGCGAGTAATNTAATTAGAAAATTATCACACTTTCTTCTAGGTTCTCTTAATTTCCTGTTCAAGTGCCAGAAAAATCATGCAAGAGCCTTGCTAGCATTTTTAAATAATCGTTGATAAAAATTATAAAAATGTTATTATTAGTAGTATGTCACTATATCAATATAAATATGCAGTGTGTTCAATTTTATTGTATTTCATAAAAACTAAAAACATTAAGTGTAAATGTTGGAATTGAAAGTTCGGATTGTAAACAAATTGGACAATGAACACTTTCATGCGAGATTTTTATATTCAGACAACAAACACCTGACAGAAGTGACACTGCATTTAAGATTTGTAAAACTATATTTTAGTAGCATCTATACATAGCTTATCTGAACGAAAGTGTTTTTCTGAACTTTTTATTTAAACAATATAATATTATGGGGCCTAAAAAAAGTGGCATGTCAAAAACTGTGTTCACTATAGAAACTAAGCAAGAGATAATAGCCAAGGCAAAGAGTAGGCAGAATATATCAGATATTGTAGGCAGATGACTTCAGGTCTACAGTAGATACAATCTTAGATAAGAAAGATATAATCAAAAAGACTCGAGCAGACAAAGTAGAAACAAAAATCACATCTGAGAAACAAAGATGTGCCATCCATGAAAAAATGGAGAGATTGCTTTTAGTTTGTTATTACATGTAAATAAACATAGTAAGAAAGTATATAATTAATTTATTTATTTTTTGGATTCTTCAGAATAAATTAATCAAGTTCTGACAAAAATCTATGGTAAATTGATAATCTGTCAACAAACAATTCGGATAGCGAATATAGTCTTGGAATGGATTATGTTCCTTAACTGATCATCCACTGTATTTATGTTCAAGTTTAACATAAATTTATGATAATTCATTATTTTATTTTGTAACTTAAATTATTAAATAATATTTCATAAAAGTTTAAAAAATTAATATATACTTACTCCTTCTAAAAAACATAAAATAGCTTGTGAAGGAATGCTAGCAAAAGATGATGGCAACAGTCGTAAGGAAGAAATAGGAATAGTACCTTCATTACCATAATCAATGTAATGAACTAATAAGTTATTTTCTAAAATATAAAACAATTATATTAAATCATAAAATCTCCCTTTGTAAAAATTAATTAAAATGTTTTATTAAAAATATAAAATATATATATGTAACATTTAAAACAAAAAATGTTTTAAATAAATCATTTTAGTTTGAAGTTTTTAATGTTAATGTAAAACTTCCAAATCAAATTAAAAATCACTTATATTTAATTTACCTAATAATAGCTTCAACACCTTCACTCTATGGAGATTATTATCTTTCACATATGGTGCAAGGAAATATTGACCTACACTAACTGTATATTCACATTTGACAACTTCAGCAGATCTAATAATTAAAATATACAGTATATTCAAGACTGTCATAAAATAAATTTTATAGTTAGATGTTAAAATTTGTAATTTAGTAATTTGATTTAGTTTTTCTTAATTTTTATTTTACACTAAAATTTATCAGTGTATTTTTGATTTTTAACAAAAAATCAATTTTAGTGGAAATTTTTTGCATGTCTAAACTGACTCAAAATATTAAAAACAAAAAATAAAGTTATGTAAAAAACAATACTTTATACATTAAACTAAAGTCTAGAAGTTTAAATTTACATTTAAACTTAAAGAAGTTTAAATTTACATTTAAACTTTTTTAAAAGTTATTTATCTATACTAATATTATAAAGAGGTAATGTTTATAAGTAAGTAAGTTTGGATGTAGCAGGTAATCTCCAAAACTACTCATCTGATTTCAAAAATTCTTTCACCAATATTTAGAATGGAACTTCAGGGTGGACATAGGCTGTATATTATTCTGTTAAACATTCACATAAATTAAAAGATATCATCTAGGGTTAAGGATTTTATGTCCAACAGATGGCACTAACTCCATGAGTACGACAACCTAAGTTTGCTTTTCTGTGAGGATGAACTAAAGCACATCATCATCTATCTATATAAATAAATATGTAATGTTCGTTTGTTCCTACCGATTCCTTAGAAATTTTGGCACAATGCTGCATTCGAATAAGCATGTGTTTTTATATAATATACATGTCGAAATTCCCCCCACTGGGGGGGGGGAGATGGACAGAATTAAGGCTTACTGTGAAGAACTTGGCTTCTATTATACTATTTTAGATGCGGTTCTTTGCATTTTTGATTGTGTTTTAATAAGGTACATCAAGAGAATGTACTTTAAGAAGGAATTTTTCGAAAAATTTCCCCCCACGGGGGAAGTGTTATACATTTATAATAGATACATTTTGAGCCACAACAACGCGTGGCTGTGTCTGCTAGTAATTTAATATTTCTTTTAAAGTCTGATTATTTTAATAATCATTTTACATTATGTTACACACATAAATGAGAACTTTCTAAATGAAATTAAATGTAAAAGTTGCATATAGANAATTTTCGAAAAATTTCTCCCCCACGGGGGAAGTGTTATACATTTATAATAGATACATTTTGAGCCACAACAACGCGTGGCTGTGTCTGCTAGTAATTTAATATTTCTTTTAAAGTCTGATTATTTTAATAATCATTTTACATTATGTTACACACATAAATGAGAACTTTCTAAATGAAATTAAATGTAAAAGTTGCATATAGAGTATCCTGTACACTTAAGGTAGTATTAACCATTTTGCTTTCTCATTTCCTTCTAAAATAGTTCAATGTATTTCCATACGATGGATTAAGTCTGTTAATTCTTGACATCATAAAAAGAATCAAAATCATAATTGTTTTAAAGTTAAATTTTTTAAGAAGTATCCAAACCTGCTTTAATGGCCAAACAACTTAAAAGTTATAGCCTCTAAAGAAAACATGCAACATGATGATACAACCATATTTAAAGTTATATATTTTAATTATAATTTGTAAATTATTCATTTTTTTCAATTAAATTATATGTATAAATCAGATTCCTACGAATTTATCTCATTCTCTGGGAAAATAAAGCTTAAAATTAACAATAGATTTCCAGGATTTTGGGATCCAGAAATCTTGGAAGCCAAATTCTAATTGAAAACAGTTATTTCAGACAGTAATTCGAAGACCAAAATATCTTTTAACTAGCAGACCCCGCCTCACGTTTGTTGTGGCTCAAAATGTATCTATTATAAATGTGTAACACCTCCCCGTGGGGGTGGAAATTTTTCGAAAAATCCCTTTTTAGTGTATATTCTGTTGACGTACCCTATTAAAACACAATCAAAAACGCAAAAAACAGCATCTAAAATAGTATAACAGAAGCCAAGTTCTTCACAGTAAGCCTTAATCCCGTCCATCTCCCCCAGTGGGGGGAATTTCGACATGTATATTATATAAAAACACGTGCATATTCCAATGCAGTGTTGTGTCAAAATTTCAAAGGAATCGTTATGAACAAACAAACATTACATTTTTATTTATATAGATAAATAGAAGATGATCTGCTTTAGTTCATCCTCACAGAAAAGCAAACTTAGGGTGTCGTACTCGTAGCACCATCTGTTGGACATAAAAGTCTTAACCTAGATTATATCTTTTAATTTATATGAATGTTTAACAGAATAATATACAGCCTATGTCCACCCTGAAGTTCCATTCTAGATATTGGTGAAAGAATTTTTGAAATCAGATGAGTAGTTTCGGAGATTACCCGCTACATACAAACTTACCTCTTTATAATATTAGTATAGACTAGCAGACCCCGCCACGCCTTGTTGTGGCTCAAAATGTATCTATTATAAATGTATAACACTTCCCCCGTGGGAAAAATTTTTTGAAAAATTTTTTCTTAGTGTACATTCTCTTGACGTACCCTATTAAAATGCAATCAAAAGCGCAAAAACCCGCATCTAAAATAGTATAATAGAAGCCAAGTTTTTCACACTAAGCCTTAATCTTGTCCTTCTCCCTTGCGGGGGGAATATCGAAAAATCCCTTCTTAGTATACATTGTGTTGACGTACTCTATTAAAATGCAATCAAAAACGCAAAAAATCGCATCTAAAATAGTATAATAGAAGTGAAGTTCTTCACAGTAAGCCTTAATCCTGTCCCTCTCCCCC